CTAATGTAGGGGCTTCAATAACTGCCTACATCGTTTTTGGGGTTCCTTATTGTAGTTGTACTGTAAAGGAGCACAAAACCTTATTCTAATTATTGAGGCCCCTGCATTAGGGCCATTAGGGGCTGGTGGCTGTGGTTTCTGCACGAAGCATAAGTAAGGCAAAGCATCTAGGTTTTGGAGGTTAGGATTCGAGTGTCGGGACTCGCAGTAGGAGGTTTCTCGAAGTCGTTCGAATGCCTGTTCCTAAACCCTAAACCCTACCTAAACCCTAAACCCTAAACCCAACTCTCCGAACGAGCCATAGATCGGTTTTCTTTTTGTGGTTGCCTTACCCTCCAGCAAGGAAGCGCCCTGCTAAAATGGGACTTGTGCAACAAGCCCTGCTAGTCCAAGAGTCGGTCCTGGACCCTCTCAAACCCAACCCTAAGCTTCCACCTAGACGTAAACCCTAAACCCTAAACCCTGAACCCTAAATCCTAAACCCTAAACCCTAAACACGGCTAGACCTCGGCCCGATGCCTGGAATTCTGTGCCTTTGACCTCTTCAAACAGAAAAGACCACAGCCTTGAATCCGCGACCTTCTGAAAACCATAGATACGCATTGAATCTCAAACCCGCAACCCCAAACCCCGAACAAGAAGCCGTGAACGAGAACCCCCAAACCTGGAACCCTAAACCCGAAACCTTGAGACCCTAAACCCTAAACCCTAGAACCCTAACCCGAAACACCGAGACCCAAGACCCAAAACCCTAGAGCCCTAAACCCTAGAACCCTAAACCCTAGAACCCTAAACCCGAAACCTTGAGACCCAAAACCCAAAACCCTAGAACCATAAACCCGAAACCCCGAGACCCAAAACCCAAAACCCTAGAACCATAGACCCGAAACCTTGAGACCCAAAACCCAAAACCCTAGAACCCTAAACCCGAAACCCCGAGACCCAAAACCCAAAACCCTAGAACCCTAAACCCCAAGCCCCGAAACCCCAAACGCTGGCACCGCAGGAGCGGCTGAAGCACGATTGCCGGGTGGGCTTCCGCACCTTCAGCAGCTGGGGCGCTTGTGTTCTAGGGCTCTAAGGTTCTAGGGTTCTAGGGTTCAGGGTGTTTTGGGGTCTTTTGCCTGATTTTCTGGGATTTTGGGTAAGGCCCAAGTCCCTGTGGCATTTTGGCCTTCAAGCCGTCCGGAAAGTTCATAGTCGAGTCCTGGAGTGCCTGGGATTTTCAGTTTAGGGGGTTTTAATGTATGAACCTGATTAAGAAACCCTGGCCCTATCACCCCAATATATTCGGGTTCAAAAAAGAAACCTAATAAAGGCCCAAGGTTTCTTAACCAGGTTCCTACAGTAGCCGTTTAGCCTTTCTGGCTTCGGGCTGAGTCGGGGGTTCGGGGCGAAGGCAACTTCAGTCAGAATGTGGAGTGAAGAACAACTTATGTCTACTATGTGTATCTGGATAAACATAGATAAACATAAGCATGGATGAACAAAGGCAAAACTCAGCAATTAAGTATACACATAGATAGTCTCTCTGTTTTTTTTGTTTGTTTTCTCTCTCTCGCTCTCTCTCTCTCTATATATATACACATGAACAAATAAGTAATCAGATAAACTGTATGTATACATAGAGAGAGAGAGAGAGAGAGACAGATACATGTATGCAGACGCACACCTATGTTTTTCCCTTGACTAGAACGAGCAGAATGTGAGGGCTCAAGCTTGTTCTACAAGCAGGGATAAGCCAAAGTTCGTCATGAGCTTTCCTTGTCTAGAAGGATGTGTGCACGAGTCGATGTATGAATACATATAGAACGAATCTCTACTGTGAGGCCGTAGCATTACTGCCTAGTAATCTTATGCAGCTTAGTAAACAATGGCAAGTTTGAGCAGTGTTTCATCTATCACCACTACGGTGCTGCTCGTTTTCTCGAGAATGCTGATCGTACAATGTCTACGAATACTACCTGTACTACAGGAACCCGCCGCACTGTGAATCAGCAATGATCACGACTCGCAAGTGTTGTCCGCAGTGTTTGAAGTGATGATCATAGATATGATTCCTCTCGACAATATTCCAAGAAACTTCCAACACAAGCAACAGTGTTTTCTATTACTAGTTGTATTGCAAAATGCCGGTGCCACTTTCAAACGTTAGTGCCGCAAGAGACAAGTTGGTAAGTTCATTGTTGCTACAGCAAGTGGTTTCAATGACACGTTCAAAGTAGTTCAACAATCCGAGTGCTTCCATTTGAAGCAGCTACTACTCCGCTTGCTTTCCCTCGGGTGAATACTAGCCCAGAGTGACGCCTAGGTTTCCTTCATACAGATGACATTGTTAAGGCCTTGTTCGTGACAGGCTGACTGCCTTTGACATTACTACCATTAACGAGAACGCAAATACAGTTGCTGCTCTTAGCAAGTCCAGGATGAAGAAGAGCACTGCGAACACTTCTGCATGTGATGGATTGAGGGTTCAGGGTGTGGGGATTGTGAAAGCGGTGAGTGGCAACATCTGGTTGTAGGATGATCATCAACACGCTAGACCACTAGTTCAAGCCACCCGGAAAAATCGAGAAGCACCCCGGCTCCAAACTCACCCTCCAAGGACGCTTCACCGACGAGGGCCAGGAGGTCATTGACCCCTACGACGTGAAGAGCGCTTTGATGTACGCAGGATGCTGGCCCAGAAAATCAGTAGGAGGGTGTAGTATGGTAGTTTCAGAAAGCATCGGACCTTCATGTAGACCCCACACACACACACACAGGTAGGATCTTTCTTTTTTTGAGATCCCCGAGTCCCTGATTAGCCGTCACTTCGCAATCCCAAACCCCGAATGCTGAACCCTAAACCCTAGGTGTTTCAGGATTGCCTCCAACAGTCTGCGGTTCAGGATTCCAGGTTTTGGCGTTTAGGAATCCAGGATTTTTGGGGTCAGGATTGTGCCAACCGCCCTTGCGTTACAGCTCCCTGATAAGCAAAGAACGAGCCCCTTGTGGTAACCGGCAACTCGACGACCAAAGCAGATCTTCGTTATTGTACCCTTAAACCCTCAACCCGAACACCCCTTAAAACCTCGACCCCTCAGCCCTCAACCCACCAACTCCTCAGCCCCAAGCGCTCAACCCCTAAGGCCCCAAACCCCAAATCCCCAAACCCTGAACCCCTAAACCCAAAGCCCACGCCCTAAAACCCTAAACCCCTAAACCCCTAAACCCTAAACCCTAAACCCCTAAACCCCTAAACCCTAAACCCTAAACCCCTAAACCCCTAAACCCTAAACCCAAAATCCCCCAAGCCCTAGAGGCCCACAGCTTCCTTCCCAAGGAATCTTCGGGGCACAGCTGAGCCACGAAAGGCTCTTCCCCCTGTCCGAGGCAAGGCTGCCTTGTCGGGGGCCTTTTTAAAGCTATCAAGGGGTTTAGGGTTTAGGGTTTTGAGGATTAGGGTTTAGGGTCCAGGTAGGATTGGGTTGAGGGTTTAGGGGTTTAGGGTTTAGGGCTTATGTATCTTTTGGGGTCTTATGGGATTTCTTTTAGCCTTCTGCATCGCTTTCTACGGTTTTCCTTGTGTTCTTTGCCAAGGTTGCACAGGGTCTTTTGGAGCTTCATCGGGTTTAAGGTGTTGTAGGGTTTTGAGGGCTTTATCGGGTCTTGCAGGGGCTGACAGGGGCTTCTATACAGATTTCCAAAGTAACATGGAACCTCGAAGAGTATTTTGAGCCGTAAAAGCCGCTAAGCCCTAATCCCTAAACCCCAAAATGGAACCCCCTAAACCCTGCCCCAAACCCTAAACCCCCATCCTTAACCCCAACATGGAACCCCCTAAACCCTAAACCCCAAACCCCCACATTAACCTGAGCCCCGAAATACAACCTCACGTAGCAAAAGGACAGAAGCCTCCCCAAAGCCAACACTGCGAGGCCCAGTTCGTACATGTCGCCAATGAGGCGTCACCCGGCCACCAGAGGTCTTTAACCCTGTGACAGGTTGGGGCAGCAACCTATATACCATATATATTTATATACAGATATACATTCATACATGCAGAAGTTTTTTTTGTTTGGGGTAATATGTGCGTCGGAATACTTAGGAACATTCTTTCATGAAAGTCCACATACATACGTACTGTGTGTATATATATATATTATATTATATTATATTATATGATATTTATATATATATATATACACATATATATGCAGACCCGTTCGATAGCAGGGAGGGGGGGGCTCGTTCACCATTGACTGAATCCTGCTTGAAGCGATGGCCCGTTGGCTCCGAGGTACATGACCCGTTTCAGTGCCAGACAGATTGCAGCTTTGACTGCACATAGTTCTGGATTGTCTGCGAAAACACTAGCCATTCGCGTGGTTGCCCTTCTCTCTCTATTCGTTGCTGCAGAGACGGGTGCTCCATGCATACCAGCTCATGAAACCACTAGGGCCTTGTGTCCTGTGCATAAAGACGTTTTGTACGTGTTACATGTTTGCGTGTGCACATGCATGCAGGCATATGTACATACATTGCCCTTGTACATGCATCGATGCAATAAAAGAATTCCATAAACAAGTGCTCGTACGTTTGTGTTCGTGGTCGAACAGCAGTCTGGTATCCGTCACTCGAAGCCTTCAGTGCGAGGCCATCGCTGAGGACCTCTTCGGGAAATTTGATGCCGACGGTTCAGGCGGGTCTTCCGTTTAGGGTTTGGTGCTCAACGGTTTGGCTTCAATCTGAAGGTCTGAGTTTTCAATTGTAGTCGGCACCACGCCCCCACCACGGCAAGAACCATCACCACCAGCAGCAGCATTCCGAGCATCGCGAGCATCATGCACATCACCAACATCGTCAGGAGCATCAGCAGCCTCAGCAGGATCAGCCGCATCACGAGCATCGCGAGCATCATCAGCATCAACAGCATCCGCGGCATCAGCGGCATCACGAGCATCGGCAGCTTCGCGAGCATCAGCAAGCCCAGCATCATCCAGCATCAGCAACATCAGCAGCATCAGCAGCAGTAGGAGCACCAGCAGCAGCAGCAGCAGCGGCAGCAGCACCACGAACCCCCGCAGCAACAGCAGCATCACCAGAATCAAGAGCATCACGAGCACCAACATCACCACCAGCAATAGCATCAGCAGCATGATGAGCATTGCGAGCATCACGAGCAACAGCGCCTCACGAGCAACAGCAGCAACAGCAGCATCAAGCGCATCAACAGCATCACGAACATCATGAGCATCACGAGCACTAGAAGCATCACGAGCATCCAGGGAAAATCAGCAGCATCAGGAGCATCAGCAGCAGTAGGAGCATCAGGAGCATTGGCAGCATCGCGAGCATCACGAGCACCAGCAGCATCAGCATCATCAGCCACATCAACAGCATCGCCAGCATTGCGCGCATCAGCAGGATCAGCAGCATCGGGAGCATCACGAGCATCACAAGCATCAGTGCATCAAGAGCATGACAGCTATCAGAAACATCACGAGCATACGCAGGGTCCGCAGCATCACGAGCATCAGCAGCAGCACAAGCATCAGCGACATCAGAAGCATCACCAGCATCACCAGCATCAGCGGGATCAGCTGGATCAGCCGCATCACAAGCATCACGCGCGTCAGCAGCATCAGCGGCATGACGAGCATCAGCTTGATACTCATGATGCTCCTGAAGGAGCATCATGAGCAGAGGAGCAGTGCGAGCATCACGAGCATGAGCAGCATCAAGAGCATCAGGAACATCAGAAGCATCGCCAGCATCACCAGCATCAGCAGCATCAGCGGGATCAGCCGCATCACAAGCATCAGCGGCATCAGCTTCGCCAGCATCAGCAACATCACGAGCATCAGGAGCATCACGAACATCAGGAGCACTGCGAGCGTCAGCAGCATCAGCAGCATTAGGATCATGAGAAGCATCGCCAGCATCACCAGCATCAGCGGGATCAGCCGCAGCACGAGCATCAGTAGCATCAGCGGCATCACGAGCAGCGGCAGCTTCGCAAGCATGAGCAACATCAGGAGCATCAGGAGCATCACGAGCATTAGGAGCAGAGCATCACGAGCATCACGCGCATCAGCAGCATCAGGAGCATTAGGAACATCAGAAGCATCGCCAGCATGACCAGCATCAGCAGCATCAGCAGCATCAGCGGGATCAGCCGCATCACAAGCATCGCGCGCATCAGCAGCATCAACAGCATCAGTAGCATCAGCGGCATCACGGGCAGCAGCAGCTTCGCGACAACATCACGAGCATCAGGAACATCACGAGCATTAGGAGCAGAGCATCACGAGCATCACGCGCATCAGCAGCATCAGGAGCATTAGGAACATCAGAAGCATCGCCAGCATCACCAGCATCAGCGGGATCAGCCGCATCGCAAGCATCGCGCGCATCAGCAGTATCAACAGCATCAGTAGTGTCAGCGGCATCACGAGCTTTAGCAGCTTCGCCAGCATCAGCAACATCACGAGCATCAGGGGCATCACAAGCATTAGGAGCAGTGAGAGCATGACGAGCATCACGAGCATCAGCAGCATCAGGAGCATCAGCGGGATCAGCCGCATTGCAAGCATCAGCGGCATCAGCTTCGCCAGCATCAGCAACATCACGAGCATCAGGAGCATCACGAACATCAGGAGCAGTGCGAGCATCAGCAGCATTAGGATCATCAAAAGCATCGCCAGCATCACCAGCATCAGCGGGATCAGCCGCAGCACAAGCATCAGTAGCATCAGCGGCATCACGAGCAGCGGCAGCTTCGCCAGCATGAGCAACATCAGGAGCATCAGGAGCATCACGAGCATTAGGAGCAGAGCATCACGAGCATCACGCGCATCAGCAGCATCAGGAGCATTAGGAACATCAGAAGCATCGCCAGCATCACAAGCATCAGCAGCATCAGCAGTATCATCAGCATCAGTAGCGTCAGCGGCATCACGAGCAGCAGCAGCTTCGCGACAACATCACGAGCATCAGGAACATCACGAGCATTAGGAGCAGAGCATCACGAGCATCACGCGCATCAGCAGCATCAGGAGCATTAGGAACATCAGAAGCATCGCCAGCATCACCAGCATCAGCGGGATCAGCCGCATCACAAGCATCGCGCGCATCAGCAGTATCAACAGCATCAGTAGCGTCAGCGGCATCACGAGCTTTAGCAGCTTCGCAAGCATCAGCAACATCACGAGCATCAGGAGCATCACAAGCATTAGGAGCAGAGCATGACGAGCATCACGAGCATCAGCAGCATCAGGAGCATCAGCGGGATCAGCCGCATCACAAGCGTCAGCGGCATCAGCTTCGCCAGCATCAGCAACATCACGAGCATCAGGAGCATCACGAACATCAGGAGCAGTGCGAGCATCAGCAGCATCAGCAGCATTAGGATCATCAAAAGCATCGCCAGCATCACCAGCATCAGCGGGATCAGCCGCAGCACAAGCATCAGTAGCATCAGCGGCATCACGAGCAGCGGCAGCTTCGCCAGCATGAGCAACATCAGGAGCATCAGGAGCATCACGAGCATTAGGAGCAGAGCATCACGAGCATCACGCGCATCAGCAGCATCAGGAGCATGAGGAACATCAGAAGCATCGCCAGCATCACCAGCATCAGCGGGATCAGCCGCATCACAAGCATCGCGCGCATCAGCAGTATCATCAGCATCAGTAGCGTCAGCGGCATCATGAGCTTTAGCAGCTTCGCTAGCATGAGCAACATCACGAGCATCAGGAGCATCACGAGCATTAGGAGCAGAGCATGACGAGCATCACGAGCATCAGCAGCATCAGCAGCATCAGGAGCATCGCGAGCATCACCTGCAATCAAGCATTATCCATTTAAAAAATAGATCGCCAAGGGGGTTCCAAAGTACCCTCTAGTAGTTAGGGTCCCTAATTAGGGGACAGCATCCCGGCGTCCCCGGCACCTTTGCGAAGCGGGTCGGTCCTTGGCGGGGAGACGGAATCCGGAGCACCGAATTGTGAGCGCCCGGCCTTGGACGCTGAAAGCCACCCTAAACCCTAAACCCTAAACCCTAAACCCTAAACCCTAAACCCTAAACCCTAAACCCTAAACCGGCTTGCATGGTGACCTTGCAAAGCCTAATACCCGGCTATTTTGCAACCCAAAATAAATGTCCGTAAACCCTTATGCGCGTCGAATCTATGCTTCCAGCAACACCTAAGCCCAAGGCACAACTCCTGAATCTGGATCCTTTAACTGCACTCTAACTGCAGGCGCGTTGGAGCTGGACGAATTACATATGGCTCCCTGGAGACAACTTTCGGGACTTGGGTTTGCTCCACTTTGCCGGGTTTGATGGGCGTGACAGACTTTGCTTCCCTTAGGCTTGGATCCTAGACCCTAGACCCTCACGGAATTTTTGGGCTTTTCAAAGTCACGGATTCAAGCGTTTCCGCTAGACAGTTTCAGGGATGGAAGACAACACATCAAGCCGGAAAAGTTTGATCGAAAGCTAGAGCCAGCTTGAATACGGACGCCCACAAAGCTGGCTACGCCAGGCAACCAGACAGAATGCTGATGTTGCCGTTGATGGTCGCGAGAATCGTGCAGTTGCCATCACTACCATCCCCGGCACTCCCAACAGCCGTGGCCACGCCAGCATCGTCGCCATATCACAGCAGCTCATAGCATGCCATGTCACTTCATCTCATATCGTACCGCATCAGATTAGATGGCCCCAAATCAGATCAGATGAGGAAAAAACTTGATCAGATTAGCTGCCCATCGTCGTCCTCCTCCTAGTCCTCCTGCTCCTGCTCCGCCTCCGCCTCCGCCTCCGCCTCCGCCTCCTCCTCCTCCTCCTCAGCATATCATCATCCTCATCCTCCTCCACCTCCTTCTCCGCCTCCTCCGCCTCCTCCTCCTCCTCCTCAGCATGACCCGAAAGTGCTGATTTCCAAACCCAGAGTTCAAAGCTTTAAACTCATGCTTCGAAACCCTCGATCCTAATAGTAAGGCGCTTTAGCCGAAAGGGGGGTTGCTTAACTTGCGGTTCGCGTCGCAATGCAGGTATTATCTACAGCTTGTAAGATCTAGACCACACAACAGCCTTAAGTTACTTAATCCCCAAAGTGTGCCGCGGAGAGAGAGCCAGAGAGAGTGAGAGTGACAGAGCAGGTTATTCAGGAGATGACCGGGGTCGACGAGGCTCGGTTGAGGGCTTCTTCGAGTTTTGTGGTTAGATTTTGAGGGTTCGGGTTGGGGCTATCTGAGATAAGGGCGGGGCTAGGGATCCGATTGTAGTATTACCAGGTCTGTATTGAAACTACTGTTGGAGTTTTCGACCTCGGGTGGACAATCTAGGTTCAAGGCTCGGTGTTGAAACGCGAGGGTTTATGTCCCCGGGCGCGGAGTTGAGAGCTAAGGTGTCGGGGGATGGAGGTAGATTTTGGTTTTGGCGTTCACTGCCTCGGCTCGCGGTTGGCCGGTGTCGGAGGAAGATCTCACGATGACCAGCAGAACCAGCATCAGCGTGTGCAGAAGGGATGGAAGAATGCTACATGGGTGGTTGTCAAAATTATTGTCCCTTTTTGGGTCCTTATTATAATACGGCACCTATTATTTAGGGTACCCCAAAAGGGACCATAATTTTGACAACTACCCACATGTTAGTGCGGCATCAAGCATGGTCAATACTTTCATCGCGCCTCGGGGCCACTGAAGTCGCATCTCCAACTCTATCGCTGGCATGTCCTATTTGCTATATGTTACAGACCCTGTACCATACACTATAGACCATATATATATATATATATTATATCATATCACATTATATTATATTATATTATATTATTTTATATTATATTATATTATATTATATTATATTATATTATATTATATTATATTATATTATATTATATTATCTTATATATATATATAATATTATATACATATATATACATATATTATAGACTTTAGACTATAGATACGGAGCTCTGTGTCCGCAAGCCTGTGTAGGTGCACGACAGCCAGATCGACGGTCTTGCTGCCGCTTGGAAGGGCTCCTGCCGTGTGGCCCCCTGGCGGCCGTTGGTGGAGGGGGGGATTTTTTGAAGAATGGGCGTAGATCGCTAGAATCAGCAGGAACAATGTGGGGTTAAGGGTTTAGGGTCCCACCCTGAGAATCTGCAGGAACAATGTGGGGTTAGGGGTTTATAGGGTCTTACTATATAGGGTACTATATTAGGGTCCCCTATTTTCGGAAACTCCCATGTGGGGTTAAGGGTTTAGGGTCACACCCTGAGAATCTTCGATGGGCCTCTTGACACGCCGCACGCTCACCCCGCAGGTGCTGCACTTGACTTGCACTCAGTGGGTTTCTCCATCTCCCCGGAAGATGCCCAGTGAACCGGAGGCCGCAGGGGTGACGCCCTGAGCCCTGAGCTTCAATTTTGAGTAAGGACCAATCGGGGCAGCTCGTGATCGATCGCCAAACTTTCCTGAGCATCATGTCCCGCTATGTCGCTTGCCAGCAAGCCCTAAACCCTAAACCCTAAACCCCCTGGCTGTTCAGCATTTGGGTTTCAGGCTTTGGGGTTTGGATATGTTGGGTTTCGTGGGTTCGGGTTCTAGGGCCTCCCAGTTCGGGATTTCAGCGGTTTCCTGGCGCAAGGGCCGGGGTTGTAGGGTTTTAGCATGGGACCCAGAGCCTCCACTGTCCCTTGGGTTTAGGGTTTAGGGTTTGGGGTTTAGGGACTGTCCGTTGCATGTAGGGCCGGTTGACAAAGGATTGATGGCATAAGGTGGAAAGATGCCGTAGCATGAAGGGACGCTGGAGTCGTTTGGGGTGTGGGCTTCGGGTGATGTTGTGATGTAACGACAGTCACGAGCCCTAAAGGACAGCATGAACCAGTATTCGGGCTTCTACATCGATTGCCAGTCTCATGAAAAATGAAGGGTGTTGGGTATAATGTGAGGAGTCGCTTTGCTCTTGGACAAGAAGCCAGGATGCCTTCAAGGCAGCCCGCTTCCTCGAGATGACTTGAAAGTTATAAACGAAGCCCCGTTCAAGATGATGATTGTTTTTTTTTTTCCCGCTGCCTTTTAAGGATCGTATCCGCCAAGAGGGTCGCAGGGAAGGAATTGATTTTTCCATATTGCCTGGATACTTTTTCCCCAGCACACTTCTCCGAAGTCTGCCCGAAACCACGCTGCCCCAAACCTGCATTGGAGTGTAGTTACGTTCATTCTTATCAAACGGGCGATGCAGAAGCTTCCAGAGTTGGCGCCTTCGAAAGGAAGCGCAATACGGGGGCCGTAATGCCAGCTTTCAATGTGATCCAGAAGGGTTACCAAAGGGTCTTACATTGAACTTATTATGGGGGCAGTAATATTTCGAATGGGGTTTCGGGGGTATATTAAACTATCAAACTACGATTACGAGACGGAGTCCTAAGGAATATATGCGACCGGAAAAGCCCGCTTGCCTCAACCGGCCTAAACCCAGAGAGCCCTCACAATCCTGAGGTGAAGGCCCACATGAACGACTACATGTTGCTGCAGGCAACGGTTTCGGTTTCGGGGCTGTAGGAAATGGGCGGCTAAGATCGCGAAAGGAGGGATGGTGGCGTCCTAAAATTCGGAATGCTAGTATTTAGGGTCCTTACAATAATCGGGATCACCAGCGTTATGATTGCCTGAAGCCCGATGAGAGGTGCTTGCAATACTACTTCCGAAGCCCTTACACAGATGTGATCGCTGATCTGATCTAACGTATGCTGCACATCACAGGTTCGGCAAGGCAAATCGGTTCTCTTGACAAAAGGATGTCTCATGTATCACACCCTTCTTTGCGTCAGCTGTTTTGCGCGTCAGTCGGTCAGTTGGTGCCTTCGGGTGTAAGTGCAGGTGCTTAGGACATAGGGTTGACTATTTGGAGGCTTGGGTCTAGAGGTTTTTTTTGTTTTTGTTTGCGAATTAGAGTAGTTACAAGTAGGGAGAGAAGTCATGTAAGCATGGTTACAGCTACTTAGGGGGAGGACTGGTTGTGGGCCCATGGCACACCGGAGGAGCAGAGAGAATCTGCTCCGCAACATCCAGGCAACTCCGAGCGATTCAGGTCTGGCATCGGAACGGAGGAGCGTGCCAGACCCACTGCAGAGCTGGAAGATCCGTGTATCAGCTCGGTGTTGGCAGGAGGCTTATGAGTGGCGAAATTTAACACGCCAGTTCAGGTACCTTTACCCATACTTGTTGATTACCGAATTTCATTAGCTTTCCAACTTGTATAGCATGTTTCATACGCCGTTATGCTAGCACGAGTAACAAACTGCAATTACACCGCGAAAGCGCCAAAAGCCTAAGCGCGCCTCATTAAAGGCACAGCAAAACAAACAAGCTGTGCAAAAACCAAAATCTAAGCCCTTTAGCATGTGAGCCCTGAGCCGTAAACGAATGAACTCTAGGCCGTTCGCACATACCAAAACTTGATATCCAGCTCCGCTGGAGAAACCGATGGACATCGTGAGTGCTCTTTCAACACTGCAAAGCACACTTTAGCCTAAGCCCCTAAACCCTGAACACTGAACTCCCCAAAACACTGTAGCCTAAGCCCCTAAACGCTAAACGCTAGACTCCCCAAAGCACTTTAGCCTAAGCCCCTAAACTCTAAACACTAAACTCCCCAAAACACTAAAGTCCCCCAAGCCCTAAAACCCGAAACCCTGCACTCCGCTCGGCCTTAAACCCTCCAAAAACCCCGGTCCTTTCAGGGTATATGCCGGGGCCTCGACTTTATAGTACCCCTTATAGCACCCCCCCGCAGTACCCTCAAACCCTAAACCCTAAACCCTAAACCCAGGCCCTAAACCCTAAACCCTAAATCCAGGCGCTAAACCCTAAATCCTAAACCCCTAAGCCCTAAACCTTAAGCCCTAAACCCTAAACCCTAAACCCTAAACCCACCCTTATGAGCTTGTGGCTTCGGTTTCAGGGACTTCTGGAGATGACGAAGACGAAGCCGGAGGAGCTGATGAGCTCCAAGCTGACGCTGGAGGCTTTTTGTAAAGGGGTTCAGGCTTTAGGGTTTAGGGTTTAGGGTTTAGGGTTTAGGGTTTAGGGTTTAGGGTTTAGGGTTTAGGGTTTAGGGTTTAGGAATGTTTAGGGTTTAGGGGTTGTTTGGGGCTACTATGAGGGTTTTCGGATTTTGGACTTGGGGTTTAAGGTAAGGGTTGAGGATTTAGGATTTAGGACTTAGGGCTTAAGCGGGGTCGTGGGTTTTTTTGCGGCTACTAGGGCTTGATAAAGGTTGCTATAAGGGTTGCTGTAAGGGTTTCTATAATGGGGATAGGGATACGGGCACCGGGAGGGGGATTTTAGTTTTTATGTGTTTTGCTGGGCTTAGGGTTCAGTCAGGGGCTTACGTCGCAGTTTAGAGTTTAGGGTTTGGGGTTTGAGCTTACGGTCTTGGAGGGTGTGTGAGATACTTGTTGTGACAGGGTTTCGGTTTCTATGCTTCTGTGTTCTATTTAACTGCATCTGTTCTGTCGGATGTTGTTTTCGGACGGTTGTGGAGGCTCTCCACAGGGCTTGTATGGGGTTGGTCACCGGCAGCGCAAGATAGCGATCGCGAGAGAGAAGACGGAGGTACAGTTTTTGGGCAGTTTTGGGGTTTAGGATTCTGGGCTTAGGTTTTCAAGACCCTTAACTTCAATAGTTACAACAGTTGGGGTTTTGAGCTGTTGGGCTTGGTTTAAGGGTTTCACATTTCGGAGGCTTGAGAGAGAGTTTGTTGTTTGTCGAAGCTTTGTGCTTGTTGGTGACGAGCTGTGGCCCCTAAATCCTGTGCCCCAAACCCTACGTAAAACCAACGTTAAACCCAGAGATTCCAATATTCCTTAATTAAGGAATATTCCTTAAATTATTGTAGGATCCTTAATATAATTTAAGGAATATTCCTTAATTAAGGAATATTGGAGTCTCTGGGAAGCCTCAACCCTGAGCGCTGAAGCCTGAACCACCGAGCTTCCTGCAGATGCTGGCGGACGCCCTGAACACCAGCGGTGAAAATGCCGAGGCCGTAACAGAGGATCTACTGTCTACCGGTGTGTTAATGTAGGTGCTTTGATATTAAGAGTAGGGTTTTGGGCTCCTTGATAGTACAAAACTATAATACGTAACTCTACTCTAATGATTAATATTCTTTAGGCTTCTACCTTAGGCTCCAAGGTCTGTGGATTCAAGCCTTGGGACTTTCTCCGCGTTTTCCGACACCACCCGTCCGAGATCAGGGTTTCTAAGTTGCGCAGGAGCTTACCTTGGGGGCGACCCTGAAAAAAAGGATACTAAGCCGACCTACTACGTTGAAGATCCTGCAAGTCATCTTGAGCCGCCTTCAGGGTTTAGGGCTTAGGGCCCGAAACCCT